GCTTTGTCAACTTCTCATCCGGTCAACCCCTTGAGCAGCACTGCTATTTGACAAGTAACAACCCTCAGTTCAGCACACAATACATGACAAGTTCGGAAGCCTGGAGAAAAAAAACATATTCCCCAGGTTAGGGGATTAAAAATAAAATCACCTGATCCACACACAACAAGGTACATGGGCTACACGGAATGACTCACAAATCGCAGATTTACCTGGATTTCTCTGGCTGTGAGATGTTCACCAGCAAGGCTTCTACCATAGGGACAAATCCTAGGTAACACTATGGAGGTCACGTAACGCAGTTCCGTTCAGGCAGCGATTTCAGAGGTCCGGTCCCCAGAGTTCTGTTGCCATGTCACGTTCGAACGTTCTTTGACAGAACCAGTCATGGTCATCGAACAAATGACATCAATACCACTTAGAAGAAGCGATGTCATTGTAGCCCATTCCCCCGCAAAACTCAAGCAGCAAGCGGTCCTGGGGTGTTGAGATATGAGTCCCAAGTGCTGTGCTTGCCATGAACCAATGGCAATTCGAAGGTTTTTTCGGTTCGACACGCACAGGTCGCACAACACCAACACCAAGCAAAAGGCTGTGCCCTGGATTCTCCCAGTCGCCCCCCCGAGCAACTCCCGACCCATGGGCCCCAACATGGCGCTCACCTTGCCGAGTGCCCTGTGGACCTGGATGAGCACAAAAAGCGATCTCTGGTTTAGAAGAAATTCCGTGTTTTCTTTGCTAACTTATGATGTGTGTCGATCACATGCTATTTATATTGATTTATCACCCTCTGGATGTTCATGGATTGTCCATACCCCAGGATTGGAATCGTGTGAGGCAGTGCGCCATATTCATCCATCATTTCCTACCAATCGGTGCCTTGTTCCATGGCAGCTGCAACAACTCTACGACTTCTCGGATGAGCAGGTCATTGGATGCGAACCCTACCCTCGAAGCCTCAACACCCAAGGTTGCCCCTCCACACCCCCAGCTCTCACCTTCAACAAGGTTATATAGCCACAAAAAACGAAACAAATCGAACAAAATAATAACAGGTGCTTGGAGATGTACGTTTGGTTCCCTTTTCTGTTTTGGAGTCCCGAGTTTCTTTCAAAGACCCAACGCCTAGGTCGTTATGTCTTTTCTCCTGCTGAACCTGCTTTCCGAACGCCCGGCGCGTAGCGCGCGTAGCGCTCATCGCCCATTCTCGACGTCCGTGACTCGCCCAGGGACAATCATTGGCCATCCGACAGGAGCCTGGTAAGGGCGCCTGGAGGACCGGCGGACGGAAACGTGTGGAGGACCGGATGGGGATGAGGACGTCGATTACGAGACGCCAGAGAGTCCCAGTGTGGAAATTGGGGAACGTCGAATTACAAGCGGCCCGGTCGATGGACATGTCCATCTTTCCAAGAGATGGAAAGGCGTGGCCCCCAAAAAAACAACAAGCGCCAATCCATGTTGGTCCCCCCCCACAAAGAATCAAGGCTCGCGCAAAGCAAAGCTCAGCTTGGTGTGACCACTCTCACCTCCGTGGAGGCACCCCAACGGCACCCTCCAAGAGCACCTCTTTTGGAACGTGGAGTATCCATCGAATATGGAGATCGATGGGAGTGGACAAGGGTCGAACACACAGACTCCCTCAGTTTCCCTTGAGAAGGCTATCCCTTTTCCATCTCTTAGTGGGGACAGCAAAACCCCCAACAAATTAAAGGTTTTGCAGGTGATCCACTCTTCCTGGGTAGGCTCATACATGTCACGTTCGTGTCTTATCATATAGGGTACCTATGTTAACTTGTCGGCTTTCATCCGTGGCTTCATGGAAGGCTCTGGCTCTGAATGTGGAGAGCTATTTGTCAATCCTTTTGAAGAAGTGGCGCGGTTAGCACCTTTGACAGCCAAACAGTTTGAGCCGAACCCTGAAATTTCTGAAGCGGACACAACATAATCCTTCGTTTCATTGAACTTTCAGCTGCGTGGCTCTGTTAGCCAAGGGTGTTTTCTCTGTTCGCCCCACCGTTTTCTGTTTGCTCAGGACATGTGACATCACCTGACCGACCTCGTTGACCGTCCTCCTTTCCTCGTTTGGACCAAGGTCCTGACCGCGTAGGGATCCGGAGTCGTGTTGAAGGTCCTTGTGACCGGGTCGGACCCGGTCGACCGCCAGGACCGTGCGGACCCATGCAACAGATTCAACAACAGTTGCCCGGACGGGATCCAGGAAAGTACTGAACCTCAGGTTCGGTACATTTGGACCCGACCATGGCACCTACACATCAATTTCTGAGGAGGTACTTGGATCGCTGGGGTTGACACAGGGGCTCCAGGATGAACAGTGTCTCCACTGTCCGCAGTCTCCCACTGTCCGGATGATTTTGATTGAACATGACGGCAAGCCGCGGGTTTATATGCTGAGTTTCTTTACGTTTCTACCGTGCATACTCCCTCAATCAAAGGTGGTCACTTCAAAAATTATAATGTATATATACAAGGACCCAGGGATTTTTTTGGGGCCGTTGCTGAAGCACAACCCCCATTCACTACAATCACTAGGATCACACGGATCCAAAAACAAACACAAAAAGAGACTGCAAAGCTCAGCCATCACCGGAGAGCAACGTCCCACCCGCGACCATCTGAGGACTGGACTCCCAAACCTCGCTTCGCTGCGGAAGTGGAGGGTCGGCGGTTGGGTTGACCGAGCTCGGTGGGGTGGGGTCTGGCTTCCATCCTACCATCCTACCCCAACAAACATGACGCCAAACCCGACAGAATCGAATGGAGCAACCAGGTGGCAAAAAAAACAAAAACAAATGGCAAGATAAGAAGTGACATTAACATGACATAACAATCTTCACTTCACAATAAAGAAATCAAAGCTGTAAGGTAAAATCCAGATAGGGCAAAACAACATGCAGTGTGTTGTTGGCAACTCCCAGATCTAAAATAAAACACCACTTTGAAAACGAACCAAGAGTCTTGAGAGGGGCTATAAGACTATACAAGAACTGTAGTGTGAAAAGGCAAGTCCAATTTCATTCGCGGAGATTTTTCATTCGATGCGAGTGTGTTTCTCATGCGCTTGCTCTCATTACGTATGGTGCTCTCATGTGTGTGCTCTTTGATGTACTGCTCTCAAAGTGCGGATTGTAAGTTGTTCACTCGTGTCTTCTAACTACTTAACACCGGTTTTGGGCCTCTTGCCGACCCCAAACAGCTTGGAGATCTTCGGACGGGCATGGGATCCCGGGCGGTCTGGAGCTTGCCGCTGCATCCGGAGCAATAGGTGCACTCTTGCTCCTCACCGGGCGCAGGCGCAGCTGCGGCAGATCCGTTCGGAATTTGGATGATTCACATCCGAAAGAAACCTCGCATCCGCCGAAAGTAGGGGGGAATGCTCAGGTAAGCTCAGGTATGGACCAAGAACTTGATAACTTGTGACCCTGTGTTCTTTAGCCTTCAACCACCTCCCAGACCATTCATGCATGGAATCTTTACGTATACGACCCCAGGTCAGCCACCCCCCAAACATGATCGGTATAGCAGTCCTACGTAGTCCCACGACGCAGTCCCACGACTGCGTCTGGGTCTTTGCGAACCCCCCAGACGCTGGGCCTGATGAGTCTTTCATGTTTTCGCCCCAAAACGGTGAACAAAAGAACCAACCTTAGCTTTTTCATTGCTATTTCCGCTTCCCCTCCCTTCCTCCCACGCGAGGTCGAACAAGACCCTCGTGCCACGCGTCGACCCGCGGCGCGGTCGCCACGGTGAAGGCTCCGCCAACTTGGAACTGCTCGCTGAAGAGTTCAGCTGGTTGGGCCTAGGGCCATGCCGGTGAGCGAACGCGGATGATTCACAGTCAGGGGGTGTGGCTCAAATGGACTGACTCAGATGGAAAAGAGCACAAGAAAGCTCTGTGGCACAGAATTGTGACTCATATGTTCAAGCGGTGTGTCTTGTTTTTCTACGTTCATTTGCTGACCACATGTCAGTAGTGCTGGATGTCTTGTTATGTCTTGTTGGTTGGCTGGTGGATGTTCAGTGTGGATGTTTTAGCTTGCTGACCACAAGCTGAAGATCCATTCAACGAATTGGTCTGGGTGCCCGCCCCCCCAACTTCTGCAAGTCGCTCAGGACCTTCAACGTTTGCATTCAATAACGACATAGAACGACATTCCAAGATAAAACGGTTGACTCAAATGGAGAAGGCCCCAATTAGGGTCATGTATATATAGGCCTGAAAAACGTTGCTGAGACCAGTTCATTTGCTCACGTTAAACTTTGGAGATCATTAAGGCTGCTATTTCATAAATTCCATAAGGTTCCCGACAAGCGATTTCCAGTAGGGAATAGGGACACATCTTCCTTACAGCAATCCTACAGCAGGCCAGAGTAAATGACTAAGGAATGTTCAACTGCTGCGCAAGCAAAACAAACAAGGGAGATGGCACGTAAAAAACTGAATGAGCTACATTCTATATATCAACTGCAATTATCTATACAAGTCACTAAACCATACTGTCTAAAAATGATATATTATGATATAGATGGCACCTTCCCACTATGGTCAATGGACCATAATCGGTTACACGGTCTTCGCAGTAGTTATTGACATCGATTGACCTTTTGCAGGTTGATGCCGTTTTCCTGATGCGTTTCGTGCAGCCTAAAAACTCTCTGCTTGCCTTTTCAGAGGCTGACTTCTTTTTGGCTAGCACAATTTAAAAAAGAAAACCTCCAAACGGCAAACAAAAACACACAAGCATATCACATGACATCACATGCATCAAAAAACATCCGTAGAATTCCGTAGACCACATGTTCATGTGGCAGAACTGCAGATATCTGCAGCCAGCTGCGCTCCTTTTTGGTCGCTATGTGTACAACTGGCTCCTCTTTTGGGGCGATGAGACCCAGGGACCTTTGCCCCGACCACGACGACCCACGAGACCCACAGGGGCGCGTAACAACGCTCGAACGACCGCAGCGGTCAGACCCGGTCAACCGTGTTCTCTTCGGATGAAGGTCACATTGAGCAACACCGCAGATTTGCCTGCACCAACGGTCGCAAATGGAGGATGCAAGTACCAGTAAGGTCGCAGCAAAGTTGGCTGGATTGGTCTCCACCACAGCTTCTGAATTCAAATTGTCAAAGACTTCCAGCGGACAAATGGCAGTGATTAGTCGTCTAAATAGATTGGTTGATCTTGCAAACCCTACCAGGGCTTGTCTTGAAGTATGGAGGCCTCCCAGCCAAATCCGCGCAAGGACAACTCCAAAAAAGACTCGGCCGTGTCAGGTTGCCAAGCCCCAAAGCCTAAAACCACGATCCGGGAGGAGACTTGGCACCCCCCTGCCTTCCTGCCGACCGACCGACGTCGAGACGTCGACCGACCGACGTGTCGGGACGTCGAAAGTCGCCGAGTCACACTGCGCCACCATGCCGGTGTCTAAGGTTGCCCCATTGACCTCCACGATCACGTCGTTCACCTCGATGCGATAGGATAGGGCCAGGATAGGTGCTGGCCCAAGATAGGGGGGTGGAGCAAGGGAAAATTGATGTAGATAGCGTATTGTATCACGTCCTGTTAATTTTCCTTAAACAATGCAACGATATATAGAAAACTAAAAAAAATATAAACATCCGTACATATGATCACTATAATAGACATATATATATATATATATATACATTGAGATGCCATGACGGATTTGGTTGCTTGACAGGTTTTATCAATATGCAGGGTCTACATCAGGTGTGCTCATCTATGTTCATCTTCAATCCGTAAACGTGTAGTTGCGCCGGAGAAGTATTCACATGTGGGCACACGTGATCACAAACCCCCATGGGGACTGGGTGATCTAGATTTTGGTATGTCAGACATACGTACACTTTCAGCCTGCAAAAACACAAAGAACATAAGAAACCAAACAAGTCTTGTCGCCCTCCTCCTCCTGCTCATCATCATCGGCATCATCATCATCATCACCCTCTTCAAAGAGACCAACCAACTGCTGCTTTCAATCTCATACAGCACACGAGGATGTACAAAACACCGAAACGGCACCGCACAAAAATCGCTGGATAATATAAACAGCTGCATGACCTGTCCGTTTCTTTTGTCCCTGGATTCTGTTCGTGGGGAATATGGGTCGAGTTGTTGCATGCCCCCCCTGGAGATTAACATGGGTGCCCAAAACCACCGGGTTGTAGAGGAAAATGGTAGGCAGTGTGGCTCAGGCCTCCACGCCGGCATGTCTGTCACTCCCCTTTTGGGAGTGCGAACTGAGCCATGACATTATCCACATCGATATGCCCCAGCCATGAGATGATCATAGCAAAGACCAACCTTGGAATGTGTTCGGCTCATTTAGTGATGACCTCCGCCAAGTTTCCAGAAGCTTGTCAAGAGATGAGTGAGGCATGTGTCCTAGAGGAAACGCTGATTTTAGCAGAGTGGGAAGACGAGACATCCTTCTATGTTTGGGAAATCTTGGGGCCAAGATGGTATAGTCGCTGTGATAGTATCTTCTCTTGGAGTTCCTTTTTGCCTTGTCGAGTTGTTAGGCTTGCAAGGAAATCGACTCACTCGACTCTCAAAGGGTCTATACGGAGGTTCCCAACTTGGGCATTTACCGAAAATTGCGCTCTGAAAGTCGTGCTTGATGGCGAATTTTTTGAAGACTTTCTTGGTGACTTTTGAAGTCCCATGTGGCCAAAAGGCACTTAGAGTGACTTGATGATCCTGCCTTCTTGTCTTTTTCCTTCGCTGCATACGACCCAGTCGCTGCGCGACGCTGAGGTGCACAGACATTCTCTTTGTAAGCTTCCCATTGTGGGCGTCTGGTAGCAGTTCATTTAGTCTTGCATGGGTAGTATCTCACTTGATTACTTATTGTGTCTTGATCCATTGCAATGGATCTTGCTTTTCCTCTCACTTGTCTTTCTTCACACTTGGGTTCAAAACCTTTCTGTGTGGCCATGTTCGTGTCTGTTCATCTTTCACATATAGTCACATAGTCATACTCTGCACCTACCCGGTTGAAATACCAAGAGGGGCAACAGAGCGGGCTCGATCCGTGCGATGTGGTGTAGAGGAAAATGGCGCATGACGCAAAATCCTCGTCTCAGCTCTTGGCTCTTTTCCTCACCGCATCACCAACATCCTCATCTTCATCCTCATCTGCTGTCCCTTTGTATTGCAGTACTCCATGATCCAGTGTTCCTCCACCCTAATCACCTTCATCTTCCCTCCACCTCCCAGAGCACATCCTCACCCACCTTCCGCCAGGCGACCTGTATGGCTGCCAGTCCCTGCTGCCTCGCGACCGCGTTCGCCCGGTCCACGGCGCCATGCCGGCGGATCGCCAGGACTACCAGGCGCCCGAGACGGTGCTTCACATCCATTCCAAGCTGATCATTGGGTTCGCTCTTGTGAATACCTCAGATGACTCAGCAGCATCCATCAGCTCATCCGACGAAGACGGAGAAGACGGGCAAGCACAGAAGCACGTGCAGCACGCGGTTGTTGTTTTTTCTGTATTCCCGAAGTGCATGGGCTCCAGTGTCGGACCGGTCTCGGAACTCGTTTGGACTGGGACGACCGGGGCCCAGGGTCCAGTCAGACCTTCTGGAGGTACTTTCCTGGAACCCAAACAGGTCTATTTGTTCATCGATGATCGTGCGGTTATCGCTGGCTCATCTGCTTCGGACGATCGGCTCAGACTGGTGTCACACATCATGTCACACATCATGTCATGGCACTGGTCAATCCAAAAAAAGGACCCTCACCATTGGGGTGACGATAAGTGATGTAGACTCAGTCTTTGATTATAGTTTCCCTCTGAGTCTGCCAAAGGATCCAACACGATAGACTGATCGCACGAGTAACTATAGCATACTATAGCAGTGTGACAGCGCTATGTGGTTTAACTTTTCAGTGTTTTAGTTTTGTCGTGCGGAAACCTCTTGAGATGTTTGTGGGCAATCAGTTCGGTCCTAGGTCCCTAGGTCATCCTTGGTCCCACGTCTCGAGGAGGGTCTCGGACGAAGACTCTACGGTGAGCCGGTGAGATCTTTGATTCTTGAGAGCACGCATCTGCGAGTGAAGGAGAACACCATGGTGATACCCATCTGTGAGAGGACAGAAGTTAACCAAAAACATGATTATAAAGAACACATGAGTTGGCCACGAGGCGGTCTTGATTCTTTCACTTTATGTTCTCAATTCTCATGGCGCGTTGCAAAGCCAGCCATATGGAGCCACTGAGATACGCTTCCGGGAAAAAAAGAAGTCCGGGGAAGCAAAGCAAACATATCAATCCCAAAGGCTCCATGATCTCCATGCATGTATGTAAATATGGCCTGCATTCACGCATTCACGCCACCAGTCAGTCATGTAGGCCATATTTGAATTCATGGAGCGTCTGAAACACAAGAAGTCCAAGTTCACATCGAGAGGCTTATCGCATATTTCCTCAGCACAATGAGATTCTCGTGGCGCTTGTTGCAAAACACATGGAACAGGCTCCGGAAACCGTTTAAGATTGCGAAGGGGAAACCCTCTGTGAGGCACACAACACCATAGATCAGGATTGACCTGCTGACTGTGTCTGGAAGATGGGCAGTCCCGTCCGTTCGGAGCCCAGTCCATCCGGTCGAAGAGTTCGCGTCCAGGCGATTGCCAAACATGGACTGGCATGTTCACTGGACTGGCACTTTCCCTTAGGGATCCGTTTTGGTAGCGATTCTGTACGGGGATGTGAGGTTCGACACTGTGACATGTAGGTGCCATGGTCGGGTCCAGTCAGAGGGTGCCCAAGTCATACCGAACCTGAGAGGGTGATTGGATCTGGAATTCTGATCATAGTGGAAGAACCCTATAGGCTATCCTATGGGTCCCCCAATAGGGTCCTACATATAAGGTCACTTAACCTCTCTTGCTTCTTCGACGAACCAAAAACGAGCACGAAGAACACCCGCACGACCGGACTTCGGGCTTTCCTCGGAGTCGTGGGGCACTCCGAGGACGGATCAGGACCGACCGTAAAAGGGGCGACAACGGCGAAACGAAGACAGAAAACCCGTCCAAGGTTGTAAAGTCAAATGATCCCCAAGGGACCGAATTGGAGGTCGAATCGCTTTTTTCTAGCCTTCCCTCCCTCAAACATCCTCAAACCAACCCAAAACGACCACTTGGCCAATTCAGAACAACAACACCCTCATCGTGAGGTCAGCTTACCAAGCCCATGCATTACAAAGTTCAAAGTGTTTGCCAAGTTGAGCCATCTGGACTTCTCTCTATGGCTATGAGAGTCTATGCAGTCAGCTTTCAGTAGTTCCCCTCACCTGACACACCGATGAACAGCTCAGCAAAGTATCTTTTGTGTGGATTCCAGAAAGCGTTCGTCGCCCACGACCCCATCGTTGGCGCTCACCTCAGCTTACGGGCTTACGGCTTGGGAGACGTCTGCAAGCATGCATGGCACGCCCCATGAAGAAATATCACCTTTGCAAATGATCCCCTGCACCTTGAGAATGGCATCCGTCCTGAAACCATTGTCCTCATACCAGTACCCGTTGTGGCGACATTGGGGAGGTCGGTTTTCTCCAGAAGGTCACCTGGTGTCAACCACGCCACGCTAAGTAACTACTCCAAAATAAAATCTGTTGCTCAGGTGCAATATGGCGACGTGAATGCAAAGCTGGTCATCCCCCAGGATGCCAGCTTTGCATCTTATCCGAGGTATCCGAGGCCTTCGACATGGAAGAACAAAACCTTTGTTGCATGTACTCGCTACAGTTCTAACAGGTCCAACAACCAAGAACAGGCACCATGTTCAATGCACTTACATTGAATGGTCACAAATGTTCACTATGAGCAGCTATGAGTTATGAGTCTTATATATTCCTATATTAGAGAGATTAATATGGATACATGTCCCACAAAAGGTCACTAGAAACAAACCTTTCCGTATGGGTAATATATATATATATATCTATAAGAAATATGATTATATAATATATCATTATATTATATATATATCCCTCCCTGCCTCATTTTCCTCGCTTTCCCTTGCCCAGGTTGCTGCATAGGCAGTGACCTCCACCCCATCATCCTTGGCTGCGCAGCAGCAGGTCGCTGCTGCCTGGCCCATCACGCCGCCAGCGCCCCGTGGTGGATCCCCGGCGGGCCGCAGCTTGAAAGCCGAATGGTCGGCGGACGTCGGGCAACGGCGGAATGAATTCAGCTGGGCAAAGGCGAGGTGGCACTGGTGGATAAGCAGGTGCCCTTTTGGAGGTGATTTTGCACGTGTTGAAAAAGGGCAAAGATCCTGGTGGTGTGGGACACGTCCAAGGTCATGTGGGACGGCGTTTCTGGAACAACAAGGTCATCCATTTGACGATGCACCTGCATGAAGATTCTATCAACTATCGAATTCAAAGCAGCAGTTCCGCTTCGCTCCAGCTGCACATGACACACCACCAAAGAGTGTCTGTACATGTCTGCGGCCTGGCCTATGAGCTGAACCCAAAAATCCCGACCGGATCCCAAGCGTCGATCCGACGTGAGTGCCGCGTCCGAGGCCAGCGCCAGCATCGGTTCTCGATGATGTCATGACCTCGGCGTCAGGTGAGTCAGCAAACGAAGTCAAACATGGACCTAAGTGTTCAAGAACCCTAAGTGTCAAAAATGGACCTAAGTGTCAAACATGGACCATATTGGTAGAAGTCTCAAGAACCCTTTTTGGCACCACCAAAGTGTTCAGGACGTGCCCAGATCGAAGAATGGATGGTGAACACATCGTGGACGGGACCGTTGGCTCAGGGGATTCCAAAGAAGTGGCTTCGCCTTGGCCAAGGAAACACCACAAACACCGAGTGAGTCGATGCCACCCATCATGTACCTGAACATCCGATTTCATGAGATCTCCTGAGAGACTCAAGCTGAAGAATGGCGGTGAGATCGAATGAAGTGAGCATAGGTGATATACCCTATAGAAACGTCTTTCATTTTGTCCATCTCAGCTTCCATCCCAGCCGGCTTTCTTGCTCTCCATCGATCTAGGTGAGCCCGACTGTAAAGCCATCGGTCAGTGTGCCGTTGGAGAACCTGGTCCGTTGGAGAAGTCAGAGTCGGTGCATGGCAAGTCGCAGCCCCACCAGGTCTTGAATGTTAAAGTGGCTCGGTGCACCCATCTAAGATTGATGTAGACGACTGGATTTGCTGGATAGGAACCTGAATCAATCCCAAGAGGCCCAGGGGATTGGCGCCCATCCCTGAAATTCCAACCTGATCAGCAAGACCAGGTAGACTGTTGATTAAGGCCAGTTCAATGGAGACGTATCTGGCCAGTTCAATGCACACCGGGCGCAAGTCCTTGTCTCGCACTCCGAAAAGAACCGCTAAGTCCTCGACGTAAGAGCTTTTCAAGATAAAATCATTCTGATCCACAGTGACCTAAAAGGATGGACTTCGAGCTGGAACGGGGAGCGAGGAGCTGAGCTGCGAGGAGGATGTCCAGGGAGGTGATTCTTATGTGACTCAATGCTAATATCACACAAGCAACCAAGACTCTCACATTGACATAGCTTCACATGCGTCGCAGTATCAACACCTGCATGGCCTTGCAACATCCTTCCAGGGGCGTTGACTTGCAATAATATCTGCAGTCATGATCTCCAGCAAGAGCAACTCACCACACAGTTCACCAATCGTAAGTGCCATGCATCCTCGAAGTTCACATCAATGATCGCCTGTGCAGCGGGCGTGCATCCAGGCGGATGAGCTTGATGCAGTTTTAAAACTCTCCGAACCCTCCAAAACCATGTTAGATCGTGCTTGCCACACCCAAGAGTAGAGGACGTCACTCTCCTCCAAAGCCTCTCATGTGGGGAAATCTGTGGGAGATACCCCAGCAAGTCCAAAGGATAGGTTAAACTGGTGCGTTAGCGTAAAGGACGCATAAGGACGCATTTCACCTCCCAACTTGCAAGACCTAATTTTCACAGGTGTTTCACGTCCTATTCACGGGGTTTTCCACGGCCTTTCCTCCCATTTTGCTAAAGCACCGATTAAACTGGAGCGATACTAAGTTACTGGTTAAACTGGTGCGTTGAACCACTGGGTACATTCATCGTTTAAACATCCACGCTCGATCGAGTGATAGAGCCCCCGTCTCTTCGCGTTCGACTGGGCAGGCTGAGGGGAATGTTAAGTTCGGTTTTGCCCCCTGAACATTCCAATGTGCAAAACGAAGAGTTGCCACTACCCCAATCTAAAAGATCTCCTGGGGATTTGACCATCCACTCTGAAACTACTACGTAACTATATATATATATATTGTATACGAGTTCCCAAGTGTCACAGCATTGGTGTGATGTCACAGCGGTGTTCTGTCCTGTCAGTCTGGCACGACACGTTCCCGGGTGCGAACACGTGATCCACGTGATCCACATGATTGAGCGGTGCATCTCCCCAGTTGAGCGGTTTCAGAGTCGGTTTTGGCACGGGGAAAACACCACGACCCATGCCGATCAAGTGACCCCCCTTTCACCGCCCCTTTCGCCGTTGATGCCGAAGTCCCAAAGAGGGTCTGGGATGGGTCAAATCTCTGAAAACCATTGAACCCCCCCCCTCTAATTACTGTCACGAAGACTGTGCCATCGAGCTGCCGATCATTGCACAAGCACAAAGGGTCATAACTCGAAACGTTCCGCTTCAACAAGTAAGTACTGTCAAACTAAGTAACCTGAGAATTGACCCGTGGTGGTTTAGACCATTTTCCGAATACCAACTCAGAATACCAACCCAGGTGGTTTTGGGGTTTCATGTTCATCTGCGGGGGAGTAAGTACACTCCCTGGAACTAACATGGAAGTGGACAATGTGACAATGGCCTCTTGGAAGACCATGAAATCCTCTACCAACAGGTGGTGAACTCCACGTAACCATGTGAGTTCCAGGGAGAGTAAGTCCTGTCAACGGACGCGTCACAACCGGTCACGCGTCACGACTGGTGGTCACGCGGTGCCGCGCGTCCCGTCGCGTCACGACGCCGCGCCCGATTCAAGCACACATGGCTCGTTAAGGTGGTCGGCACCTGGAGCAGGTGACGGAGCAGCATGGCCGGGGGCGAACGGGGCGAACGTCCGTTGGACCCGGAGGGAGATCGCCGGTTGTACTTGCGTCAACGTCCAAGGTTGTGTGAAGCAGGACAGAACAGAAGACCCCGCGAGCAGCAAAGCGAGCTCAAGCTGCAAATGCGGCGGCCAAAAAAATACCTAATACTAAAAGGTTTCAAGTGACAGCATCCAGCTGGTGGGTTGCAACAAAAGGATTCAGTTGATGCATGGGACCCTGGGATGGGGGGAGAATTCTTGGATGGTTGAGTCAAGTATAGGTCGCATTTTGAACCTCAGTCGCTCCGGATCTTCATTCCATCACCGTCACCGGTTCTCATCCATTGAACCGAACCTGTGCGCCATGCTGAGCCACCTGTTAGAGTGGAACTGTTCAAACAGCGGCGTCCATGGATACTCCCCCCCTCCGGCAACGAAGTGGATGGCCTGGCCTCGAAGAGGAAGACTGTTTTCCTCATTCTTCTTCGGTATATGCTATAGGCGGTTTTCCACTTCATGAAATCCCGTTGGGTCAAACATCTATATATATATATATACACTCCCACACTACGCATCCACAAAGGGAACCAGGTAGCCGGACCCCTCAAGCTTCGGCTTTATGTGGCACGTGGCGGTGTGGCACCCAACCCCTCAAGTCGACCGATGCTCCCCGTGCGGACCAACGGCACCCCTCATTCGACTCCGACCCGCTCAACCGATGTGCCCGCTCGACCGCCTCAAAGTCGGCATAGCGAGGAAAGGGCATGGCCGATGCCGACGACGCTGGCGGATTGGGTCGATCAACAGAACTGGTGTGATGGTCGCAGAATGCGACGGGAGCTATTTTAGCTGGTCGATCTATGTATACAATGATCGATACGTATAATAACACTCGTTAACCCTCCACATGGGACTCAGCTAAAGATCTTGCGTACATGTGGCTGGACTACCTTTCACTGGGCGGGACATGAGGTCTGTTGCTTTGAAGCGTCCTTGTGCAACATACAAACAGTCTTCGCCATCATCCCATCATAGCTCCTCAGGGTCTTTCTGCCTGCGACTTATGACACTACGTCATACGTGCTATGCGGGCCTATCTCCTCTGGACATGGGGCGATGTCCATGGCAAATTGGGCCAAGCAATCTGCGGCGAAGCAACCTGCTCCGGCCACTTACGTTTCCTTTTGATCCACCAGCTTTCCTTCCAGAGTTCAGGATCGCAAGAAACAGGGGTGGGGACCCCCCAAAAAAAGAAACAAAGCAACCACAAACGGTTCTGCATGAAACGCTCGTACACCAGCTGGCAGTGTGCGTTACGTTGAACATGTCCCGACGGTACCCACCGTGCTGTCTTCCGCCGATCCGCCGGTCCCTTGTGATGAAGTCGCGAGGGTGCCCGGCGTTTCAGGGCATGCTTTTGCTTGGGCAGGATGGAGCAGGGGACTGAGGAGAGGTTTTTGTTCAGAAACTAGGAGAGGTCACTGGCCATGAGGATGTTTGGGGAAAATCATGGAAGAGCATCATGAAGGAGATATATCATGGAAGATATATTGGACCATATAATATATTGACATATAACATATTGTCATATTGTCTTCCATGATAACATATTGACACTATAACAATGTAACATATATGTATATATGACAATATGTGTTTTCCCTATGTTCCATATGGAAAAAAATCTCCCGCCCCCCCCCATTGAGCCAACTCCACTGGAGTCAACTGAAGCTGTCGACTGAGAGCCCACATCCACCCAAGAGTGGGGAAACGCAAACACTGCATGTCTGGACTAGTTACATACAATTACCACCAGTTAGCCTAGTAAAATGATGCGTCTGCTAGGTATGTATTCCATGCATTTCCATGCAATGGGTGGACTGAGCTGCAAACATGTGGAACACCGGAACCAGGAAGACCCTGTTTCTTGGAGAGAGGGACATCATCTTTCTGCCCTAGACAGTTTGGACACGTTGGGATTCTTCAAGTGTAAACTCTGGCCACAGCTTGATGAACATGGAGAAAATGATAGAGGATGAGTGTCAGCTGCAACCATCCTCGTGGGGTTTCTAAAAAATGGGCTAGGTAACCAAACAAACCACGGAACGGCACGCAGCAGAACGCCTTCATTATCAGCCATCACTGTTCGCTTTGATGACTTGGAGCTAAGCAAGCAGCCTCTCTGCTGCATGAAGCAATCGGAAATTCTCCGCCCCAGCATGGGAAATGGGTCGATCAAAGGCATTTCGACATTTCCTGGACCAAAACGCTGCACTTCATGATTCCAAATTTGAAGCAGAATGCCGCGCTTTGCCGGAAAGGGATGGCCCTGGTATGTGAACACGTGTTTCTCAAGACACGGTTTCTTCCACTTTCACGGGTCGGCCATGGTCCACCCTGGTAACCCAACGTTCCGGATGCTTTTGCTTGGGATGTGAACCCTTAAGACCGATCTCGTGTCGACACGGTTTTCCCCCGAGTCGGGACGCGAACCCTTGTGGAGGATGCCTCCTTTAGAGGGATCATCTCCCGCGACTGTAGCATCATCAGGCTGCTCTCTGTGATTGTGATCATCGTCTTGCAAGCAAAATCATGACATATCGAAAGCCCTTGCGGGCTGAGAACATGCCCTAGGCCCTAGGGCTCCAACCACCTCCTCAGGTTCCGTGGTTGGACCACTGGCACCCACAAGCACCTTCGAAACGGAGGTCGTTGGAGCGCTGGGACCTGATTTGTGTTCCTCTTGTTTGTTGTCCAATCACCGCGGAGCTGTGATTGCAGCGGACCTCCATGTTCCTCACAGAAACTGGGCGCCGCTCGAAGCAGCCGGGGCCTGACCAAATGGAACGACTGGCAGGGACAACTGGCAAGGCTTGCTCCAAACAGCCCCTCCAAATGCATGTGACATGCTGTTGGGACCGTCGTCTAAAAGTGACATCCCACCCGCCACCTCACCATCACTGGTAACAGTGACACCCACCATCACTGCAGGTCGATGGGTGCCCCTCTCAGCCCAAACTTCAGGAACTCAGGACTCTACATGATCCACATGTGACGTCTTCCGGTGGACCTTATCGACAGAACTCTCGATCCCGACTGCTGTATACATTCTGTATGCAGCCTGTTTAACCTTCATCTTCAATTCATCTCAAGATGATATAAGTCTTAAGTCGATCACTGCCTGCTTTTCCTAAGGCTGAAGCAGTCTGGTGGGCGCTCTGGTGGAAGTTGCGTCCTTGTTTTGACCACTTAGAGTCTTTGCGCTACTTCCACATCTTCAACCACACCCTGTAGCATTTCGGGCCTCTGGCCGGATCACCTCTGGCTGCTCTCCGATGCGCATCTTGGCCAAAATGTTGGCCTAGCTGCTCTCCGCAGCGAAACGGGACTGCTTTGGGATCTGAGGGAACTCAAGTACATTGGATTTCTACCTGGGCCTTCAAGGGGTGGTAGACATGGACACCCCTTAACGGCTAAGGGGCTATAGACACCCCTTGGAGGGTCCTGGCATAGAACTGTCCAAAAGACAGAAGCTGAGATGGCAGAATTCTTCCGGAGGTTGCACTTTGCAAATCATGGCCCACCAAAGGAATTACTGCAGCCCCAAGCTTGTGTGACTAGATCATCCCAGCTTCCGGCCAAAAGACCTGCCAAAAACAATGTCCAACATCATCCAACATTTAAAGTTGTCCCTGTATGAGTAGAAATATCAGTCTAAAGGTCCGGCCCTCCCAAACCCATCCGTCTGGCCCATCTCTCCTTCCATTATGTTCCTGGTCCCTGAACATCACAGGATATAGAACATTCCAATTCCGCCCCCCCTTAACATCCCACTCCTTTCAGCACTTCTCCGACTCATCCAGTCTCCGCGGAACGACCCATCCTCCGCCCCGGCGGCGGGATCTGATCTTGGGAAGTCCCTGCGATGTGCTTCGGATAGTCGTGATGACCCTGGATGCCCAAACCATCCAAGTTCACGTTCCTCGGAGAGTTCGGAGATGTTCGGAGAGTTCAGAGAGGCCAGAAAAAGCAGCAAACATAACACTTAAGGGATGCTATGCCATTCAGTGAAACCTGTAACGATCTATTTTTGACCCAACTGATGCTGGAATCTGCTTAGATATTCGCTAGTTATTGGTTTTATCATAATCAGTGGTTTAATCGCTCCATCGACCGCCACAAGGAGAGAAAACGCATCAACCACACAACCAACAAGCATGGAAAACACTAGAACACCTTACTGGGACAACTTTTTTTGACCATCTGCTTTCAAAGATGCTTAGTGCCTGAACCAATTATTGTTCATTGAAAAACCAAATCGCTTGTCGGGGATGGATATTCTTTTGGATCACCTGTTGTGAACGTCTGCGCCCTGAAAAAGAACTCCGAAGTTAGGGGCTCTCTGCAGCTCAAAGGCTACGCGGCTACACGATGCTACACGTTTGGCTCGTGTCCGAAAATAACAAACATGTGCGGAGCAAGTACTTTCCAACATCCCTTGGCCAAAAGACGTATATGCCCAAGATTGCCCAGTTGTAGCTCATAGGATGAAAAACATATGCCAATTATCCGCCGACCCCGGCCTATAGCCAAAGCCTAGGCGGGGAGGCGCCTGGGACACCGCAGGGTGAAGCAGTTGGCCAAGCCTTGCAGAACCCTTCCAAGCACTTCCAAAGGCATGTGTGCAGGTGCATTGTGGTTGGCCGCGGCCTCTCGGTGGCCTGTCCGAGGCCTGCCTCTCCTCTTCTTATGGGCTTTTCCGAAAGCAACGTTAGACACCCACGGGCCCCGCCCTCAAACGCTTCTCGGCAGCCGGCAGGCCTGCCCCGGCCTCTCTGTGGCTGTCCGAAGCCTGCCTCTTCTCTTCACCCACGGGCCCCGCCCGCAAACGTTTCTGCAGGCCGCAGCTTGGCCCACAAAGCTTATTCTATGGGCTTCCGAAGGCAACGCGGCCTCTCTGTGGCCTGTCCGAAGCCTGCCTCTTCTCTTCACCCACGGGCCCCGCCCGCAAACGTTTCAGCAGGCCGCAGCTTGGCCCACAAAGCTTTTTCTATGGGCTTCCGAAGGCAACGTTAGACACCCACGGGCCCGGCCCTCAAACGCTCCTCGGCAGCCGGCAGGCCTGCCCCGGCCTCTCTGTGGCCTGTCCGAAGCCTGTCCGAAGCTTGCCTCTTCTCTTCACCCACGGGCCCCGCCCGCAAACGTTTCTGCAGGCCGCAGCTTGGCCCACAAAGCTTTTTCTATGGGCTTCCGAAGGCAACGTTAGACACCCACGGGCCCGGCCCTCAAACGCTCCTCGGCAGCCGGCAGGCCTGCCCCGGCCTCTCTGTGGCCTGTCCGAAGCCTGTCCGAAGCCTGCCTCTTCTCTTCACCCACGGGCCCCGCCCGCAAACGTTTCTGCAGGCCGCAGCTTGGCCCACAAAGCTTTTTCTATGGGCTTCCGAAGGCAACGGTAGACACTTACGGGCCCGGCCCTCAAACGCTCCTCGGCAGCCGGCAGGCCTGCCCCGGCCTGTCCGAAGCTTGCCTCTTCTCTTCACCCGACCCTCGGGCTAACCGCCGAGGCCACCCTCTTCTTTTCTAGGCTTCCGAAGCGACGGCCCCCCTCAAACGTTTTTCAGCGCCTCGCAGGGTGCAACCTTGGCATTGGCATCTCCACCTTTGTGGGCTTTAACACAGGCCACAGCTACCCTGTCCAAGGCCACGCAGCCTTGGCATGGCCTGGGCTGCCACGTACGGTGCTAGCAGCCGAGGCCAGCCTCTTCT